CTAGTACTGGACCGTCAAAGCAATGTCTTGTTTCTTTCATTTTCTCTCCATTAAAGCACCAACCCTGTTTTTACCACCATGACAGAGTGAGAAAATCATAGTGCCTTCAGAAAGTATTCATACCCTTGACTTATTCCACATTTTGTTGTGTTACAGCCTGAATTCAAAATTGATTAAATATTTTTCCTCACCCATCTACACACAAAGTGATAACATGGTTTTAGAAATGTTAGCACATTTATTGAAAATGAAAAACAGAAATATCTCACACCCCTGAGGCAATACATGTTCGAATCACCTTTGGCAGCGATTACAGCTGTGAGTCTTTCTGGGTAAGTCTCTAAGAGCTTTGCACACCTGGATTGTACATTATTTGCACATTATTCTTTAAAAAATTATTCAAGCTCTGTCAAGTTGGTTGTTGATCATTGCTAGACAGCCATTTTCAAGTTTTGCCATAGATTTTCAAGCAGATTTAAGTCAAAACTGTAACTCGGCCACTCAGAAACATTCAATGTCGTCTTGTTAAGCAACTCCAGTGTATATTTGTCCTTGTGTTTTAGGTTATTGTCCTGCTGAAAGGTGAATTCCTCTCCCAGTGTCTGTTATAAAGCAGACGGAACCAGGTTTTCCTCTAGGATTTTGCCTGGGCTTACCTCTATTCTGTTTTTTTATTTATTTTTTTATTTAAAAAACAGCAACAACACCCTAGTCCTTGCTGATGATGAGCATACCCATAACATGATGCAGCCACCACCATGCTTGAAAATATGACGAGTGATAATCAATGATGTGTTGTGTTGGATTTGCCCCAAACGTAACGCTTTGTATTCAGGACATAAAGTTAATTACTTTGACACATTCTTCGCAGTTTTACTTTAGTGCCTTATTGCAAACAGGGTGCATGTTTTTGAATATTTGTATTCTGTAGAGACTTCCTTCTTTTCACTATGTCAATTAGGTTAGTATTGTGGAGTAACTACAATGTTGTTGATCCATCCTCAGCTTTCTCCTATCACAGACACTAATCTCAAACTGTTTTAAAGTCACCAATGGCCTTATGGTGAGATCCCAGAGTTAGGAAGGACACCTGTATCTTTGTAGTGAGTGGGTGTATTGATACACCATTCAAAGTGTAATTAATAACTTCACCATGCTCAAAGGGATATTCAATGTCTTTTTTTTTTTTTTTTTACCCATCTACCAATAGGTGGCCTTATTATGTGACATGTTAAGCACATTTTTACTCTTGAACTTATTTAGGCGTGTCATAATAAAGGCGTTGAATACTTATTGACTCAAGACATTTCAGCTTTGAATTTCTTATTAATTTGTAACAATTTCTAAAAACATAATTCCACTTTGACATTATGGGATGTTGTAAATAATAAATAAATAATATGCCATTTAGCAGACGCTTTTATCCAAAGAGACTTACAGTCATGTGTGCATACATTTTATTTTATTTTATTTTATTTTTTTTGTGTATGGGTGGTCCCGGGGATCGTACCCACTACCTTGGCGTTACAAGCGCCATGCTCTACCAGTTGAGCTACAGAGGACCAGAGGCCAGTGAAACAAAATCTCAATTTAATCCATTTTAAATTCAGGTTGCAATACAACAAAATGTGGAAAAGGTTTTTTACAAAGCGACTTACAGTAATGCATTTTGTAGCAAGAATCGAACACACGACACAGGACCATATATACAGCGGGGGAAAAAAGTATTTAGTCAGCCACCAATTGTGCAAGTTCTCCCACTTAAAAAGATGAGAGAGGCCTGTAATTTTCATCATAGGTAGACGTCAACTATGACAGACAAAATGAGAAAAAAAAATCCAGAAAATCACATTGTAGGATTTTTAATGAATTTATTTGCAAATTATGGTGGAAAATAAGTATTTGGTCAATAACAAAAGTTTCTCAATACTTTGTTATATACCCTTTGTTGGCAATGACACAGGTCAAACGTTTTCTGTAAGTCTTCACAAGGTTTTCACACACTGTTGCTGGTATTTTGGCCCATTCCTCCATGCAGATCTCCTCTAGAGCAGTGATGTTTTGGGGCTGTCGCTGGGCAACACGGACTTTCAACTCCCTCCAAAGATTTTCTATGGGGTTGAGATCTGGAGACTGGCTAGGCCACTCCAGGACCTTGAAATGCTTCTTACGAAGCCACTCCTTCGTTGCCCGGGCGGTGTGTTTGGGATCATTGTCATGCTGAAAGACCCAGCCACGTTTCATCTTCAATGCCCTTGCTGATGGAAGGAGGTTTTCACTCAAAATCTCACGATACATGGCCCCATTCATTCTTTCCTTTACACGGATCAGTCGTCCTGGTCCCTTTGCAGAAAAACAGCCCCAAAGCATGATGTTTCCACCCCCATGCTTCACAGTAGGTATGGTGTTCTTTGGATGCAACTCAGCATTCTTTGTCCTCCAAACACGACGAGTTGAGTTTTTACCAAAAAGTTCTATTTTGGTTTCATCTGACCATATGACATTCTCCCAATCCTCTTCTGGATCATCCAAATGCACTCTAGCAAACTTCAGACGGGCCTGGACATGTACTGGCTTAAGCAGGGGGACACGTCTGGCACTGCAGGATTTGAGTCCCTGGCGGCGTAGTGTGTTACTGATGGTAGGCTTTGTTACTTTGGTCCCAGCTCTCTGCAGGTCATTCACTAGGTCCCTCCGTGTGATTCTGGGATTTTTGCTCACCGTTCTTGTGATCATTTTGACCCCACGGGGTGAGATCTTGCGTGGAGCCCCAGATCGAGGGAGATTATCAGTGGTCTTGTATGTCTTCCATTTCCTAATAATTGCTCCCACAGTTGATTTCTTCAAACCAAGCTGCTTACCTATTGCAGATTCAGTCTTCCCAGCCTGGTGCAGGTCTACAATTTTGTTTCTGGTGTCCTTTGACAGCTCTTTGGTCTTGGCCATAGTGGAGTTTGGAGTGTGACTGTTTGAGGTTGTGGACAGGTGTCTTTTATACTGATAACAAGTTCAAACAGGTGCCATTAATACAGGTAACGAGTGGAGGACAGAGGAGCCTCTTAAAGAAGAAGTTACAGGTCTGTGAGAGCCAGAAATCTTGCTTGTTTGTAGGTGACCAAATACTTGTTTTCCACCATAATTTGCAAATAAATTCATTAAAAATCCTACAATGTGATTTTCTGGATTTTTTTCTTCTCATTTTGTCTGTCATAGTTGACGTGTACCTATTATGAAAATTACAGGCCTCTCTCATATTTTTAAGTGGGAGAACTTGCACAATTGGTGGCTGACTAAATACTTTTTTCCCCCACTGTATATATGTGTGTGTGTGTGTGTGTATATATACTGTATATGTGTAAGTAAGCATATAAGCACAGAGCACAATTTACTGTCATCAAGTACTATTAAATTAGTGAAGACATGTTCATGACAATACCCCAGAAGTGTTTATCAAAACAGCCAACAGTGTTGAGTGGGTGGTGTATATGTATCATGGCCTTAAGTTCAGCCAGACCTCTATCATAATGTCTGTGTCATGATCTCAGTATATATACACCTGTTCTGAAAGGCCCCAGAGTCTGCAACACCACTAAGCAAGGGGCACCACCAAGCAAGCGGCACCATGAAGACCAAGGAGCTCTCCAAACAGGTCAGGGACAAAGTTGTGGAGAAGTAAAGATCAGGGTTGGGTTATAAAAAAATATCAGAAACTTTGAACATCCCACAGAGCACCATTAAATCCATTATTAAAAAATGGAAAGAATATGGCACCACAACAAACCTGCCAAGCCCACCAAAACTCACGGACCAGGCAAGGAGGGCATTAATCAGAGAGGCAACAAAGAGACCAAAGATAACCCTGAAGGAGCTGCAAAGCTCCCCAGCAGAGATTGGAGTATCTGTCCATAGGACCACTTTAAGCCATACACTCCACAGAGCTGGGCTTTACGGAAGAGTGGCCAGAAAAAGGCCATTGCTTTGGGGATGTTTTTCATCGACAGAGACTGGGAAACTGGTCAGAAATGAAGGAATGATGGATAGCGCTAAATAAAGGGGAAATTCTTGAGGGAAACCTGTTTCTGTCTTCCAGAGATTTGAGACTGGGACAGAGGTTCACCTTCCAGCAGGACAATGAGCCTAAGCATACTGCTAAAGCAACACTCGAGTGGTTTAAGGGGAAACATTTAAATGTCTTGGAATGGCCTAGTCAAAGCCCAGACCTCAATCCAATTGAGAATCTGTGGTATGAATTAAAGATTGCTGTACACCAGCAGAACCCATCCAACTTGAAGGAGCTGGAGCAGTTTTGCCTTGAAGAATGGGCAATTATTATTATTTTTTATACCCCAAGAGACTTGCAGCTGTAATTGCTGCAAAAGGTGGCTCTACAAAGTATTGACCTTGGGGGGGGGGGGGGGGGGGGTGAATAGTTATGCACGCTAAAGTTTTCTGTTTTTTTGTCTTACTTCTTGTTTGTTTCACAATAAAAAATATTTTGCATCTTCAAACTGGTAGGTACACACACACACACACATATTGTTGTTTGCCTTGAACCATCCGACCCAACCACCACATACTGTATGTAGTTATCAGTCAACCAATAACAGGTTGACTGACTCACGCCGTTTCCACGACAACGTCTCTGGCGCTGCTGATTATTGTGTCCGACCAGCCTTTGACAGACCATACCACAGTAGGATGGAATGAACATAGCATTAGCAGTCATAATGTAGCCTGATCCCAGATCTGTTTATACTCTTGCCTACTCCATTGCTGTCATTGTCAAGCCATACATGGCAGGGAGTTGGCATGACAGCACAAACAGACTGGCGCTCAGCCTATTAGCAACCATTATGTGTACATGTATAGATTTCCACTATGTGGTTTCTCCTCAGGCCCACTCTGTGTGTTTTCGCCTCAGGCCCACTCTGTGTGTTTTCGCCTCAGGCCCACTCTGTGTGTTGTCTCCTCAGGCCCACTCTGTGTGTTTTCGCCTCAGGCCCACTCTGTGTGGTTTCGCCTCAGGCCCACTCTGTGTGTTTTCGCCTCAGGCCCACTCTGTGTGGTTTCGCCTCAGGCCCACTCTGTGTGGTTTCGCCTCAGGCCCACTCTGTGTGGTTTCGCCTCAGGCCCACTCTGTGTGGTTTCGCCTCAGGCCCACTCTGTGTGGTTTCGCCTCAGGCCCACTCTGTGTGGTTTCGCCTCAGGCCCACTCTGTGTTGTCTCTTCAGGCCCACTCTGTGTTTTCTCCTCAGGCCCACTCTGTGTTTTCTCCTCAGGCCCACTCTGTGTTTTCTCCTCAGGCCCACTCTGTGTTTTCGCCTCAGGCCCACTCTGTGTGGTTTCGCCTCAGGCCCACTCTGTGTGGTTTCGCCTCAGGCCCACTCTGTGTGGTTTCGCCTCAGGCCCACTCTGTGTGGTTTCGCCTCAGGCCCACTCTGTGTGGTTTCGCCTCAGGCCCACTCTGTGTGGTTTCGCCTCAGGCCCACTCTGTGTGGTTTCGCCTCAGGCCCACTCTGTGTGGTTTCGCCTCAGGCCCACTCTGTGTGGTTTCGCCTCAGGCCCACTCTGTGTGGTTTCGCCTCAGGCCCACTCTGTGTGGTTTCGCCTCAGGCCCACTCTGTGTGGTTTCGCCTCAGGCCCACTCTGTGTGGTTTCGCCTCAGGCCCACTCTGTTTTGTCTCTTCAGGCCCACTCTGTGTTTTCTCCTCAGGCCCACTCTGTGTTTTCTCCTCAGGCCCACTCTGTGTTTTCTCCTCAGGCCCACTCTGTGTTTTCTCCTCAGGCCCACTCTGTGTTTTCTCCTCAGGCCCACTCTGTGTTTTCTCCTCAGGCCCACTCTGTGTTTTCTCCTCATGCCCACTCTGTGTTTTCTCCTCAGGCCCACTCTGTGTTTTCTCCTCAGGCCCACTCTGTGTTTTCTCCTCAGGCCCACTCTGTGTTTTCTCCTCAGGCCCACTCTGTGTTTTCTCCTCAGGCCCACTCTGTGTTTTCTCCTCAGGCCCACTCTATTGAGGGACCAGCACTACCAGTACCTGAAGAAAGGATTACGTCATCTCTCTGATGCTTATGAGGTATGTAGACTACTGCCAGGCAGACAACTGTATACACTCTGAGCCTGCATGAGTACTAATTCCCTAAGAGTATTTCCCACAAAGCACATAATTGATGACCACATTCTAAATGTAATATATGACATGTATCTGAAGTAGGGCTTACGTCATCTCTCAGAACTGATCTCCACCACTTACTTGTATTCATCTTAAGATAGCTAGGTGAGACAACCGCATATTACAGTCACAGTAAGTATGTTTTTCCTCAATATAGTAGTTATCAGCAAAGTCAGTGCTAGTAGTAAAAGAAAAGTGGGGTGGATTTAATCAAGATATTCTTCTTCATTGCTATTGGTCAGAACTGAAGATGTGCCTCATACTCCTTGCATCCTCGTCATAGTTTCTAAGTTGCAGTAAGAATTCAAACTTTGGAGCCAATGTTCCGCCCATTACAATTTGTAATCTCTTAAATATTCCAAATTCTGTTTAATCTAAAACAGATTAACTACATTGAACAAAAATATAGACGCAACATGTGAAGTGTTGGTCCAATGTTTCATGAGCTGAAATAAAGATCTCAGAAATTTTCCATACGCACAAAAACCTTTTCTTTCAAATGTTGTGCACAAATGTGTTTACATCCCTGTTAGTGAGCATTTGTCCTTTGCCAAGAGAATCCATCCACCTGACAGGTGTGGCATATCAAGAAGCTGATTAAACAGCATGATCATTACACAGGTGCACCCTGTGCTGGGGACAATAAAAGGCCACTCTAAAATGTGCAGTTTTGTCAAACAACACAATGACACAGATGTCTCAAGTTTTTAGTGAGCGTGCAATTGAACACAAGCATTTTGCTACACCCGCAACAACACCCGCAACAACATCTGCTAAATGTGTGTACAGTATGTGACCAATAAAGTTTGATTTGATTTTGACTGCAGGAATGTCCACCAGAGCTGTTGCCAGATAATTAAATGTTAATTGCTCTACCATAAGCTGCCTCCAACGTGGTTTTAGAGAATTTGGCAATGCGTCCAACCGGACTCACAACGTGTATGGGGTCGTGTGGGCGAGCGGTTTGCTGATGTCAGCATTGTGAACAGAGTGCCCCATGGTGGCAGTGGGGTTATGTTATGGGCAGGCATAAGCTACAGACAACGAACACAATTGCATTTTATCAATGGCAATTTGAATGCACGGCGATACCGTGACGAGATCCTGAGGCCCATTGTCATCCGATGCCATCACCTCATGTTTCAGCATGATGATGCACAGTCCATGTCGCAAGGATCTGTACACAATTCTGAAAATGTCCCAGTTCTTCCATGGCCTGCATCCTCACCAGACATGTCACCCATTGAGCATGTTTGGGATGCTCTGGATTGAAGTCTTCGACAGCATGTTCCAGTTCCTGCCAATAACCAGCAACTTCACACAGCCATTGAAGAGGAGTGGGACAACATTCCACAGGCCACAATCAACAGCCTGATCAACTCTATGTGAAGGAGATGGCGTTGCATGAGGCAAATGGTGGTCACACCCGATACTGACTCGCCCCTACTTTATTTTTTATTTTTTAAGGTATCTGTAACTAACAGATGCATATCTGTATTCCCAGTTATGTGAAATCCATAGATTAGGGCCTAATGAATTTATTTCAATTGACTGATTTCCTTATATGAACTGTAACTCAGTAAAATCTTTGAAATTGTTGCATGATGCGTTTATATTTTTGTTCAGTATATATTGAGACTCAGCATTGACAAAAACATTGTAGGATAGACTTGCAGGATATAGACCATTCAAAAAAATACCAAAGTGTTTAAAAAAAAAATTAATCATATTTCACCACTCCTGTTCCAGAGTCAAGATGTACATTTGGGGTTTCATTTTACTGCTTAATTATGGAGCAGTCAATATTATATTATACAGTGCATTCAGAAAGTATTCAGACCCCTTGACTTTTTCCACATTTTGTTACGTTACAGCCTTATTCTAAAATTGATTAAATTGTTTTTTTCCCCCTTATCAATCTACAAACAATACCCCATAATGACAAAGCAAAGACAGGTTTTTAGACATTTTGGCCAAAAAAAAACGGAAATATCAAATTTACATAAGTATTCAGACCCTTTACTCAGTACTTTGTTGAATCACCTTTGGCAGTGATTACAGCCTCGAGTCTTCTTGGGTATGACGCTACAAGCTTGGCACACCTGTATTTGGGGAGTTTCTCCCATTTCTTCTCTGCAGATCCTTTCAAGCTCTGTCAGGCTGGAAGGGGAGCGTCGCTGCACAGCTATTTTCAGGTCTCTCCAGAGATGTTCGATCGGGTTGAAGTCCGGGCTCTGGCTGGGCCACTCAAGGACATTCAGAGACTGACTAGTCTCCCAGTCCCTGCCGCTGAAAAACATCCCCATAGCAGGATGCTGCCAACACCATGCTTAACTGTAGGGATGGTGCCAGGCTTCCTCCAGACTTGACGCTTGGCATTCAGGCCATAGAGTTCAATCTTGGTTTCATCAGACCAGATAATCTTGTTTTTCATGGTCTGAGAGTCTTTAGGTGCCTTTTGGCAAATTCCAAGTGGGCTGTCGTGTGCCTTTTACTGAGGAGTGGCTTCCATCTGGCCACTCTACCATAAAGGCCTGATTGGTGGAGATGCAGAGATGGTTGTCCTTCTGGAAGGTTCTCCCATCTCCACAGAGGAACTCTGGAGCTCTGTCAGAGTGACCATCGGGTTCTTGGTCACCTCCCTGACCAATGCCCTTCTCCCACAATTGCTCTTTTTGGCCGGGCGGCCAGCTCTAGGAAGAGTCTTGGTGGTTCCAAACTTCTTCCATTTAAGAGTGATGGAGGCCAATGTGTTCTTGGGGACCTTCAATGCTGCAGAAATGTTCTGGTACCCTTCCCCAGATCTGTGCCTCGACACAATCCTGTCTCAGAGCTCTACGGACAATTCCTTCGACCTCATGGCTTTGTTTTTGCTCTGACATGCACTGTCAACTGTGGGACCTTATATAGACAGGTGTGTGCCTTTCCAAATCAGTCCAATCAATTGAGTTTACAACAGATGGACTCCAATCAAGTTGTAGAAACATCTCAAGGATGATCCGTGGAAACAGGATGCACCCGAGCTCAATTTCGAGTCTCATAGCAAACTTTCTGAATACTTATGTAAACAATGTATTTCTGTTTTTTATTTTTAATACATTTGCAACATTTCTAAAAACCTGTTTTCGCTTTGTCATTATGGGGTATTGTGTGTAGATTTGAGGAATGTTTTTATTTAATCCATTTTAGAATAAGGCTGTAACGTAACAATATGTGGAAAAAGTCAAGGGGCCTGAATACTTTCCGAATGCACTTTATGTGAGAGGTTACAAACCTACAGTCAGTGTCCAGATTTCAGGCTACTCTTCCATTTAATCCGTCTGAACAGTACAGTTCCCTTGGCGCCATTTTGAAGTCCCCGTCTTGTGACTGTCGAATTTGTATTGCGCTTCACAATCACCACACATAACATAGCCTGCACTGCTATCATCCTCTTTTACCACTTCACCAAATCTTTACCAAACAAAGACTACCGTTCTGGCCCTCCCTTCTCTTTATTTTTCTACTCTCCATTTTGTAGCTTTTCTCTTATTGAATTAAACTCTAACATTGTCCTTTTAGCCTCAGTGGATCGACGTTAACTTTTTCTGCCCAAGTTCCCAACAGCATTTGGCAGTTGGCGTGCTACAGCTAGACCCTGAGGCTACGCACTAACGCCAGATCAAAATAAGGAAAGAAAAACCTCAATATACAGTTGAAGTCAGAAGTTTACATACGCTTAGGTTGGAGTCATTAAAACTCGTTTTTCAACCACTCCACAAAAAAAACTATAGTTTTGGCAAGTCGGTTAGAACATCTACTTTGTGCATGACACAAGTAATTTTTCCAAGAATTGTTTACAGATTATTTCACTTATAATTCACTGTATCACAATTCCAGTGGGTCAGAAGTTTACATACACTAAGTTGACTGTGCCTTTAAACAGCTTGGAAAATTCCAGAAAATGATGTAATGGCTTTAGAAGCTTCTGATAGGCTAATTGACATCATTTGAGTCAATTGGAGGTGTACCTGTGGATGTATTTCAAGGCCTACCTTCAAACTCAGTGCTTCTTTGCTTGACATCATGGGAAAATCAAAAGAAATCAGCCAAGACCTCAGAAAAAAATTTGTAGACCTCCACAAGTGTGGTTCATTCTTGGGAGCAATTTCCAAACGCCTAAAGGTACCACGTTCATCTGTACAAACAATAGTACGCAAGTATAAACACCATGGGACCACGCAGCCGTCATACCGCTCAGGTAGGAGACGCGTTCTGTCTCCTAGAGACAAATCAATCCCAGAACAACAGCAAAGGACCTTGTGAAGATGCTGGAGGAAACAAGTACAAAAGTATCTATATCCACAGTAAAACAAGTCCTATATCGACATAACCTGAAAGGCCGCTCAGCAAGGAAGAAGCCACTGCTCCAAAACCGCCATAAAAAAGCCAGACTACGGTTTGCAACTGCACATGGGGACAAAGATCGTACTTTTTGGAGAAATGTCCTCAGGTCTGATGAAACAAAAATAGAACTGTTTGGCCATAATGACCATCGTTATGTTTGGAGAAAAATGGGGGATGTTTGCAAGCCGAAGAACACCATCCCAACCGTGAAGCACGGGGTTGGCAGCATCATGCTGTGGGGGTGCTTTGCTGCAGGAGGGACTGGTGCACTTCACAAAATAGATGGCATCATGAGGAAGGAAAATTATGTGGATATATTGAAGAAACATCTCAAGACAGTCAGGAAGTTAAAGCTTGGTCGCAAATGGGTCTTCCAAACGCACAATGACCCCAAGCATACTTCCAAAGTTGTGGCAAAATGGCTTAAGGACAACAAAGTCAAGGTATTGGAGTGGCCATCACAAAGCCCTGACCTCAATCCTATAGAAAATGTGTGGGCAGAACTGAAAAAGCGTGTGCGAGCAAGGAGGCCTACAAACCTGACTCAGTTACACCAGCTCTGTCAGGAGGAAGGGGCCAAAATTCAACCAACTTATTGTGGGAAGCTTGTGGAAGGCTACCCGAAACGTTTGACCCAAGTTAAACAATTTAAAGGCAATGCTACCAAATACTAATTGAGGGTATGTACACTTCTGACCCACCGGGAATGTGATGAAAGATTTTTTACTAGAATTAAATGTCAGGAATTGTGAAAGACAGAGTTTAAATGTATTTGGCTAAGGTGTATGTAAACTTCCGACTTCAACTGTAGCCTATAGATATGAATTGCACCAGAATGATACATTTATGAATGTAAGGTATTGTTTTCTCTTTATTCAACCTGCCCGCCACCCACCCGCCCTTCATCCACACAATATTTAATTACCCTAAACCCGGCCGCCCCACGGATTATGAGTCAACCCACGCGTGTGTAGTGTCTTGAAGCCAGTAGGATGTGTTGCTATAGTCTCTGGTTGACTGTTTTTCTAGCCCTGTAGTATCTGTCTGTCTATCTGACTGTGTTGAAGCTGAGCCATTTGCTCGAGCTCCGCTGCGCAGTACAGTCCATATCTGACTAAGATCATAACATGATGTCAGAAGTGCTTCAACCCCGTCAAATATAAAACAGGTCCTCTGTAGCTCAATTGGTAGAGCATGGCGCTTGTAACGCCAGGGTAGTGGGTTCGATCCCCGGGACCACCCATACGTAAAAATGTATGCGCACATGACTAAGTCGCTTTGGATAAAAGTGTCTGCTAAATGGCATATTATTATTATTATTATTATTATTATTATTATTATTATTATTATTATCTCTGTAGTGTAGTATGTCTATCTGTAGCTTGTCAAGAGCAATTGTGGCCATCCCTGAATTGTATTTACAAAGTTGACTATATCTGATGAATGTAGATTTGGTTGTTAATGTTATATTTAGTGATAACTCACTTTTTGTTTACAGGTAATATAGGACTAAGCCTTTCTTCAGTAAACGATAATGTACATTTTCATGTAAATAGTTAATGGGTTCATGTTGATTATTTGTGTGTTTTCCAGGAGCCTGCGCGATTGTCTTACGAGAGATCAGGGATATTTTTATCCATTTAACTCCATATTGGCTTAAATGGGTTTCTGGTTTTTCGCTTCCCTCTGGAAAATCAGCTGTTAATATTAAATAAATACTAATAACTACATTATTTCTGTTGCCATTTCTCATTATTGTGCATGTTTACTTTTATATGCTGTTATGCTGTATTATAATGTTGTATTATAATGTTGAATAATCACCTTCCGGTGTAAAAACCCTGGAAATTAGAATAGGCATTGGTCTGAAGCCGAAAAACAGGAAAGGGCCTTCCACAAACTGTTGCCACAAAGTTGGAGCACAGAATCGTCTAGAATGTCATTGTATGCTGTAGCGTTAAGATTTCCCTTCACTGTAACTAAGGGGCCGAGCCCGAACTATGAAAAACAGCCCCAGACATTATTCCTCCTCCACCAAACTTTACAGTTGGCACTATGCATTCGGTAAGGTTGCGTTCTCCTGACATCCGCCAAACCCAGATTCGTCCGTCGGACTGCCAAATGGTGAAGCGTGATTCATCACTCCAGAAAACGCGTTTCCACTGTTCCAAAGTCCAATGGCGGCGAGCTTTACACTTAAAGTTGACCGGGGCAGCTCTAGCAGGGCAGAAATTTGAAAGGTGGCATCCTATGACGGTAACACGTTGAAAGTCACTGAGCTTTTCAGTAAGGTCATTCAACTGCCAATGTTTTCCTATGGAGATTGCATGACTGTGTGCTCGATTTTATACACCTGTCAGCAACGGCAGCCAAATCCACTAATTTGAAGGGGTGTCCACATACTTTTGTATATATTGTGTATGTATCTATCCATCATCCATCCATCCATCTACAGTATCTGACTGTGTTCTCTCTAGTGTCTCGATGCCAGCAGGCCGTGGTTCTGGTACTGGATCCTATAGTATCTAGTGTGTGTTCTCTCTAGTGTCTGGACGCCAGCAGGCCGTGGTTCTGGTACTGGATCCTATAGTATCTAGTGTGTGTTCTCTCTGTAGTGTCTCGATGCCAGCAGGCCGTGGTTCTGGTACTGGATCCTATAGTATCTAGTGTGTATGTGTTCTCTCTGTAGTGTCTGGACGCCAGCAGGCCGTGGTTCTGGTACTGGATCCTATAGTATCTAGTGTGTGTTCTCTCTAGTGTCTGGATGCCAGCAGGCCGTGGTTCTGGTACTGGATCCTATAGTATCTAGTGTGTGTTCTCTCTGTAGTGTCTGGACGCCAGCAGGCCGTGGTTCTGGTACTGGATCCTATAGTATCTAGTGTGTGTTCTCTCTAGTGTCTGGATGCCAGCAGGCCGTGGTTCTGGTACTGGATCCTATAGTATCTAGTGTGTGTTCTCTCTGTAGTGTCTCGATGCCAGCAGGCCGTGGTTCTGGTACTGGATCCTATAGTATCTAGTGTGTATGTGTTCTCTCTGTAGTGTCTGGACGCCAGCAGGCCGTGGTTCTGGTACTGGATCCTATAGTATCTAGTGTGTGTTCTCTCTAGTGTCTCGATGCCAGCAGGCCGTGGTTCTGGTACTGGATCCTATAGTATCTAGTGTGTGTTCTCTCTAGTGTCTCGATGCCAGCAGGCCGTGGTTCTGGTACTGGATCCTATAGTATCTAGTGTGTGTTCTCTCTAGTGTCTCGATGCCAGCAGGCCGTGGTTCTGGTACTGGATCCTATAGTATCTAGTGTGTATGTGTTCTCTCTGTAGTGTCTGGACGCCAGCAGGCCGTGGTTCTGGTACTGGATCCTATAGTATCTAGTGTGTATGTGTTCTCTCTGTAGTGTCTGGACGCCAGCAGGCCGTGGTTCTGGTACTGGATCCTATAGTATCTAGTGTGTGTTCTCTCTGTAGTGTCTGGATGCCAGCAGGCCGTGGTTCTGGTACTGGATCCTATAGTATCTAGTGTGTGTTCTCTCTAGTGTCTCGATGCCAGCAGGCCGTGGTTCTGGTACTGGATCCTATAGTATCTAGTGTATGTTCTCTCTGTAGTGTCTAGACACCAGCAGGCCGTGGTTCTGGTACTGGATCCTATAGTATCTAGTGTGTGTTCTCTCTAGTGTCTGGATGCCAGCAGGCCGTGGTTCTGGTACTGGATCCTATAGTATCTAGTGTGTGTTTTCTCTAGTGTCTCGATGCCAGCAGGCCGTGGTTCTGGTACTGGATCCTATAGTATCTAGTGTGTGTTCTCTCTAGTGTCTGGATGCCAGCAGGCCGTGGTTCTGGTACTGGATCCTATAGTATCTAGTGTGTGTTCTCTCTAGTGTCTCGATGCCAGCAGGCCGTGGTTCTGGTACTGGATCCTATAGTATCTAGTGTGTGTTCTCTCTAGTGTCTAGACACCAGCAGGCCGTGGTTCTGGTACTGGATCCTATAGTATCTAGTGTGTATGTGTTCTCTCTAGTGTCTAGACACCAGCAGGCTGTGGTTCTGGTACTGGATCCTATAGTATCTAGTGTGTGTATGTTCTCTCTCTAGTGTCTGGACGCCAGCAGGCCGTGGTTCTGGTACTGGATCCTATAGTATCTAGTGTGTATGTGTTCTCTCTAGTGTCTAGACACCAGCAGGCCGTGGTTCTGGTACTGGATCCTATAGTATCTAGTGTGTGTTCTCTCTGTAGTGTCTGGACGCCAGCAGGCCGTGGTTCTGGTACTGGATCCTATAGTATCTAGTGTGTGTTCTCTCTAGTGTCTAGACACCAGCAGGCCGTGGTTCTGGTACTGGATCCTATAGTATCTAGTGTGTGTATGTTCTCTCTCTAGTGTCTGGACGCCAGCAGGCCGTGGTTCTGGTACTGGATCCTATAGTATCTAGTGTGTGTATGTTCTCTCTGTAGTGTCTGGACGCCAGCAGGCCGTGGTTCTGGTACTGGATCCTATAGTATCTAGTGTGTGTTCTCTCTAGTGTCTGGACGCCAGCAGGCCGTGGTTCTGGTACTGGATCCTATAGTATCTAGTGTGTGTTCTCTCTAGTGTCTCGATGCCAGCAGGCTGTGGTTCTGGTACTGGATCCTATAGTATCTAGTGTGTATGTGTTCTCTCTGTAGTGTCTAGACACCAGCAGGCCGTGGTTCTGGTACTGGATCCTATAGTATCTAGTGTGTGTTCTCTCTAGTGTCTGGATGCCAGCAGGCCGTGGTTCTGGTACTGGATCCTATAGTATCTAGTGTGTGTTCTCTCTAGTGTCTCGATGCCAGCAGGCCGTGGTTCTGGTACTGGATCCTATAGTATCTAGTGTGTGTATGTTCTCTCTCTAGTGTCTGGACGCCAGCAGGCTGTGGTTCTGGTACTGGATCCTATAGTATCTAGTGTGTATGTGTTCTCTCTAGTGTCTAGACACCAGCAGGCTGTGGTTCTGGTACTGGATCCTATAGTATCTAGTGTGTGTATGTTCTCTCTCTAGTGTCTGGACGCCAGCAGGCCGTGGTTCTGGTACTGGATCCTATAGTATCTAGTGTGTGTATGTTCTCTCTCTAGTGTCTGGACGCCAGCAGGCCGTGGTTCTGGTACTGGATCCTATAGTATCTAGTGTGTATGTGTTCTCTCTGTAGTGTCTAGACACCAGCAGGCCGTGGTTCTGGTACTGGATCCTATAGTATCTAGTGTGTGTTCTCTCTAGTGTCTGGATGCCAGCAGGCCGTGGTTCTGGTACTGGATCCTATAGTATCTAGTGTGTATGTGTTCTCTCTGTAGTGTCTAGACACCAGCAGGCCGTGGTTCTGGTACTGGATCCTATAGTATCTAGTGTGTGTTCTCTCTAGTGTCTAGACACCAGCAGGCCGTGGTTCTGGTACTGGATCCTATAGTATCTAGTGTGTGTATGTTCTCTCTTTAGTGTCTAGATGCCAGCAGGCCGTGGTTCTGGTACTGGATCCTATAGTATCTAGTGTGTGTTCTCTCTGTAGTGTCTGGACGCCAGCAGGCCGTGGTTCTGGTACTGGATCCTATAGTATCTAGTGTGTGTTCTCTCTAGTGTCTCGATGCCAGCAGGCCATGGTTCTGGTACTGGATCCTATAGTATCTAGTGTGTTCTCTGTAGTGTCTGGACGCCAGTAGGCCGTGGTTCTGGTACTGGATCCTATAGTATCTAGTGTGTGTATGTTCTCTCTTTAGTGTCTAGACACCAGCAGGCCGTGGTTCTGGTACTGGATCCTATAGTATCTAGTGTGTGTATGTTCTCTCTGTAGTGTCTGGATGCCAGCAGGCCGTGGTTCTGGTACTGGATCCTATAGTATCTAGTGTGTGTTCTCTCTGTAGTGTCTGGACGCCAGCAGGCCGTGGTTCTGGTACTGGATCCTATAGTATCTAGTGTGTGTTCTCTCTAGTGTCTAGACACCAGCAGGCCGTGGTTCTGGTACTGGATCCTATAGTATCTAGTGTGTTCTCTCTGTAGTGTCTGGACGCCAGCAGGCCGTGGTTCTGGTACTGGATCCTATAGTATCTAGTGTGTATGTGTTCTCTCTGTAGTGTCTGGACGCCAGCAGGCCGTGGTTCTGGTACTGGATCCTATAGTATCTAGTGTGTGTTCTCTCTGTAGTGTCTGGATGCCAGCAGGCCGTGGTTCTGGTACTGGATCCTATAGTATCTAGTGTGTGTTCTCTCTGTAGTGTCTGGACGCCAGCAGGCCGTGGTTCTGGTACTGGATCCTATAGTATCTAGTGTGTGTTCTCTCTAGTGTCTGGATGCCAGCAGGCCGTGGTTCTGGTACTGGATCCTATAGTATCTAGTGTGTGTTTTCTCTAGTGTCTCGATGCCAGCAGGCCGTGGTTCTGGTACTGGATCCTATAGTATCTAGTGTGTGTTCTCTCTAGTGTCTGGATGCCAGCAGGCCGTGGTTCTGGTACTGGATCCTATAGTATCTAGTGTGTGTTCTCTCTGTAGTGTCTTGATGCCAGCAGGCCGTGGTTCTGGTACTGGATCCTATAGTATCTAGTGTGTGTTCTCTCTGTAGTGTATGGACGCCAGCAGGCCGTGGTTCTGGTACTGGATCCTATAGTATCTAGTGTGTGTTCTCTCTGTAGTGTCTGGACGCCAGCAGGCCGTGGTTCTGGTACTGGATCCTATAGTATCTAGTGTGTGTTCTCTCTGTAGTGTCTGGACGCCAGCAGGCCGTGGTTCTGGTACTGGATCCTATAGTATCTAGTGTGTGTTCTCTCTGTAGTGTCTGGACGCCAGCAGGCCGTGGTTCTGGTACTGGATCCTATAGTATCTAGTGTGTGTTCTGTCTGTAGTGTCTGGACGCCAGCAGGCCGTGGTTCTGGTACTGGATCCTATAGTATCTAGTGTGTGTTCTCTCTAGTGTCTGGACGCCAGCAGGCCGTGGTTCTGGTACTGGATCCTATAGTATCTAGTGTGTGTTCTCTCTAGTGTCTGGACGCCAGCAGGCCGTGGTTCTGGTACTGGATCCTATAGTATCTAGTGTGTGTTCTCTCTGTAGTGTCTGGACGCCAGCAGGCCGTGGTTGTGCTACTGGATTCTACACAGTCTGGAGCTGCTTGAGGAAGCTGTGCCCACCGCCATCGCCTCAGAGTGAGTACAGCAACTGTACTGCTACACTAACATAACAAATATGTAGCACACCTTGTCCCAACACACACCACCCCAACGCTGCTCTACCATAATGGCAACCAACTGGAGCTCTGCTACCCGAGTCCTTCAGGCCCAGATATTGTACATCGGGTTAGGGCCGGGTAGGGCCTGTTATTTTTTTCATTAATAACTAGGGTACGGGCAGGGCTCGGGTATCACTAAATTCATCACTAACATTTTGAAGCTGAGCCATTTGCTCGTGCTCTGCTGAGCAATACAGTCATAATAATATAATAATAATAATAATAATAATAATAATAATAATAGGATCCTATTATTATTATTATTAGTCATATCTGACTAAGATCAGAACATGGTGTCAGAAATGCTTCAACGCCGTCAAATATAAAACAAGAGAGATTATTTCAGAGAAAATAATAATGTTCATTGAGTTTTTCCGGAGTTTAGAGTGTTAAAGTAGCTAACAGCTAACTGCTCTCTCATGTCTCTTCATAGCCGTTGCTATGGATACTAACACTCAAAGCACCATGAGCAGAGCGCATGCAGAGCGAGCTGCCTGCGCAGAGGGAGCGAGTGACAGACGGAGAGGAGCGGCTAATGGATTTACTAACCGAGGAAGTTATTTGGGGTTTCGGGCAGGCCTGGGCCTTAAATTTGGCAGAAGCAATCGGGTCTGCGTAGGGTAGGGCCTCTGAACGTCACCAGCATGGGTAGGGCTCGGGCTTAAAATTCATACCCGTGCAGGGATCAACTGCCTACCTACTGTGGATGCATGCAGCCTGCCCTGTATTCTGATGCTGGCCAAACATGCACATACCAAAGTAGCCTTGCCTACAAGACTCAACCTTGGTGAAAGAGACTAACACAAAAGCAACTTTGAGATGGCTCAGTTTTGCCTTTTCAGTTTACAATATAAACAACTGATAGTTTTAGCATTTACGTGTGTAACCCCTGGCGATGTGATCTGCTTTGCAGTGTGTGTGTGTGTAAATGACATTGCCCCCTCTGCCCCGTCCAGTGTGTGTAAGTTCCTGGCGCAGTGTCAGAGTCCTACGGGGGGTTTTGCTGGAGGTCCAGGTCAAGCCGCCCACCTGGCTCCCAGCTACGCTGCTGTCAACGCACTCTGTATCATCGGCACCCAGGAGGCATACAACATCATAGACCGGTACAGTCACCTCTTACTACAACATCATAGACAGGTACAGTCACCTCTGTTACTACAACATCATAGACAGGTACAGTCACCTCTTACTACAACATCATAGACAGGTACAGTCACCTCTGTTACTACAACATCATAGACAGGTACAGTCACCTCTGTTACAACATCATAGACAGGTACAGTCACCTCTTACTACAACATCATAGACAGGTACAGTCACCTCTTACTACAACATCATAGACAGGTACAGTCACCTCTGTTACTACAACATCATAGACAGGTACAGTCACCTCTGTTACTACATCATAGACAGGTACAGTCACCTCTGTTACTACAACATCATAGACAGGTACAGTCACCTCTGTTACTACATCATAGACAGGTACAGTCACCTCTGTTACTACATCATAGACAGGTACAGTCACCTCTGTTACTACAACATCATAGACAGGTACAGTCACCTCTGTTACTACATCATAGACAGGTACAGTCACCTCTTACTACAACATCATAGACAGGTACAGTCACCTCTGTTACTACATCATAGACAATAACAAAAAAACAAAAAGAATATTCTCACACCTAATTTAAAACCCCAAAAGGTAGGAAATGTTTCTGATGGTACCGCCTACTGAACTAATGAACATGACCCAGGTGTTGCCGTAGCAGCGGCAGGTGTGATGTCTTTTTAATCACCCACCCCCCCACAGGGAGAAGCTACTCTCCTTCCTGTTCTCTGTGAAACAGCCAGATGGTTCCTTTGTGATGCACGTAGGAGGAGAGGTGGATGTCAGGTGAGACTGAGCTGAGCAGCCTTCCTTCCATCGACAGAGTTTCACTGTGACTGGAGCACCACTGACACCTGATAACAACAAACTCCCTATCCCCTGCTGTCCTCTGTGTCTCTGTCCTCTCTGTCTTTCTCTCTCTCTCTCTCTCTCTCTCTCTCTCTCTCTCTCTCTCTCTCTCTCTCTCTCTCTCTCTCTCTCTCTCTCTCTCTCTCTGTCACCCCTGCTGTCCTCTCTGTGTCTCTGTTTTTCTCACTGTTTAACTATCTATCTCCATCTTGGTAGCAGACAGAGATGTGTGTATTAACTCCTACCGCTCTCTGTGTTGTAGGAGTGCGTACTGTGCTGCATCAGTGGCGTCTCTCACCAACATCATGACACCCACACTGTTCCAGGACACGCCCACATGGATCGTCAGGTACTGCAGTATAGAGCAACCACACACACGTCTCACTCAGACACACCATTTAGTTCATCTGTGGCTATTTAACTGGCTACCGTTTTGTCACGAGAATTCTATCTCTAATACTCAAACTTTGAATGATCCCCAGAGGGTGTAAGACTCTAGTTAAGAATGAATTAAAGAAATTGTCCAGTCTGCAAGGGATCAGCCATGTTTATTCATGAGAGCTCTCTGCCGCCAAAAACAGTCTTTTTTATATTCCTTCACACAAAGGAACTTAGCTCCGCCCACATTTAGGCGGCCTGTACATTTCCACAGTATAGAATGATTAACCAGTTTCTAGGTCCCCTTCCTCCTGGAATGTCTGTCTCAGCAGTTTCTAACCCCCCTTCTCTGTTAGCGGGTTTATTACTACCTTATAACTAACACAGTTTACACAGTCTTTTAGTCATTACCATAAACATACAAATTCATCTATCACCGTTCGTAAAGTTCCTTTTTCATAATAAACCTTTGAATCACATTTATAAAAAATAGTGTAGTTGTGCTGTCAGTCTTCATTGACTATAATAGTTACAAGGATTTGGACCTCGGGCTGTGGTATTACCGCCACACCGGCGGTCACGAGTCATGAAGGCAGTCAAATTCCATGTGACCGTTTTAAGTCACGGTAATTAGGCTTCTCCAAGCTCTGATGCTGCTGATGGTCATTAGTAGCCTACCAAACTTGCTAACTGCCTGGTACTCAGCACTCTATTGTCCCTCTAATCACTCTGACCTTTACATTTACATTTAAGTAATTTAGCAGACGCTCTTATCCAGAGCAACTTACAAATTGGTGCATTCAACTTATGATAGCCAGTGGGACAACCACTTTTTTTTTTTTTTTTTTTTTTTTTATGGGGGAGGGGGGTTAGAAGGATTACTTTATACTATTCCAGGTATTCCTTAAAGAGGTAGGGTTTCAAGTGTCTCCGGAAGGTGGTCAGGTGACTCCGCTGTCCTGGCGTCGTGGGGGAGCTTGTTCCACCATTGGGGTGCCAGAGCAGCGAATAGCTTTGACTGGGCTGAGCGGGAACTGTGCTTCCGTAGAGGTAGGGGGGCTAGCAGGCCAGAGGTGGATGAACGTAGTGCCCTCGTTTGGGTGTAGGGTCTGATCAGAGCCTGAAGGTAAGGAGGTGCCGTTCCCCTCACAGCTCCGTAGGCAAGCACCATGGTTTTGTAGATATCAATGCAAATGTGATCGAAAATCTAATCGAACACTTCATGAGAGCCCATGAGCTCATGTTGCGCAACATTTCTATAGGCTATGCAAATGTGTGAGAGTGATGGCCTCTACTAAAAAGAGGAGGATCCCATCAGCTTTCTATAGGCTAGGCCTACTATATTTATTTCTCAACTTTCCTAATATTAAGCACATTGCTTATCTTCACAACAGGAGTATAGCCTACCTGGCTGGCATGAAAATGAACCAAGGGAAAAGCGTCCTCCATTTGCTATTTAAGTGCATAGATGACATGTATTTTTTCCTGCTGCCTGTTTTGAGACAGGTGCATGATAATGGTCCATTCTAAATCAAAACAAATTTCACACATATATTATTTAGTATATGTAAAGACAAGGTTAAATCAAGAATAATCTGATGAGTGACAATATTAGCCTAGCACTTGTGAATTATATATTATCACTTGTGAAGGATGCCCAGCATAAGAAACTGCCTTTTTTTGCGACTTTTTCTAATCCTCATGTAGCCTAGCCCATAGGCCTATATGTTTTAATAAGGTTTGTATCACAACTAAAGTGGCCAAAGAACTTCTTAAAATTAAGCACATTCATCCGCTTTACAAGGGGTGTAGAGCCTAACTGGCATACATACGCAGTGTGTGAGTTTCAAGTTTTCACCATACAAATGCACCTTTATAATAAAAGCATTACATGCATAATCGCATACTGCCATGTGAGCATTGCTGCGCTTATAATGTGAAATAGCCTAATAGTTTATCAACATTTAAAGCTAAACGTTCTGATCTGTTGCGTCAGCCTCATTGCATAAAAAATGTTTTTTGATGCTAGTGGTTGTATTAATTTGGGATCTGTCGCATTCCACAACTGTCCCAGACTGTTTGGAATATTTATTTCTCGCACAGAATAGAATAGGTCAACTTTTGTACTATGGGGGATAGTAGATTGACATAGGCTGGTGCTTTGGCTGTTTGTTACTCATCTTGTTGGCTGGCGAAAAGTAAATGGGGACAGTTCTTCCAATATCTTCAATATGCACCTCGGAATTGGATAAGGACGCGCGCAGTTGCGTCGCCGATGTGTCTGTCTTCACTTGTAGCCTGTGAGAAAGATAACGTGATGGAGAGCCATGTGTGAGAGACGCTTTGGAGCGCGCAGCACTCAGGGAGAAAGCACTCCGGGCCAAGGGCACAACAATCCTGCATGGATTTTTTTACACCACATTTTTTTTAGGGTGCATTACGGCCACACAAATGGGATGCCGCAGTGAAATTCGAGGCTTTATCAAGAGCTTGTCAAATTGTGAATGAGAGACTGATGAAGTGTGTACAGCCTGCGCAAAAAACAAAGCAGAGCTCATGCCTTTCAAGCGACTTTTTTCAAATCATCATTAGTCGCATCATGCAGCCTTACAATGTATTAAAAATCCAAAAATATAGCCCTACGTTTGTAGAACAACTAAAGTTACATTAATAACTCTAAATTAAGCATATAGGAGTACCTATTTATTTGTTAACCGCTCAACACAGAATAGCCGCATGTGCGCACTCCCTCAAATCGTTTGGAGAAAATATCCTTTCTATTTTATTCAGCTTTGTTCAATTGTATTCTTCATACTATAAAATAATGCCATGGAATTCTAAGCAAATCTTGTCTGCTAAATGAACTAGTGTAGCCCACAGCCATATGGCATAGCCAGATCAGGACCTAACATAAGGACAACTCAGAGTATGCTATTATGTTCTTCTGAAATAGACTACATTTTCTCCATATCATGCTTCTTTAGACCTGTCTAAAATAAATAATGGATTTATTGTGAAGGTGTAGGCTATATTAGATGGATTTATTAGACTTTTTTAAATGTAGATGTTCCAAAGGTCTGCATCAGTGGCTTGTAGGCTATGTGTGGAAGCCAGGAGATGCTAAATGTGTTTATGTTAATTAAAGGTAAATTACCATGAGACCGACAGTTATTTGCATGACAATCACCGGCTGACGAAATTTCGTGACCGCCACAGCCCTATTTGTCCCCCCTGTACTTTAGAGAAATAACTTTGTAGTGAGCATGTGTTTACACAGTTCTATAGAAAGAAAGTTAATGCCCACTCACTGTCTGCTACTGCTTGTCCTTCCTGTCTCCCTCCAGCTGTCAGAACTGGGAGGGGGGACTAGGGGGGGTCCCGGGGCTGGAGGCCCATGGAGGGTACACCTTCTGTGGGACGGCTGCCATGGTCATCCTGGGGAAGGAGCACATGCTGGATCTCAAGACCCTGCTGGTGAGTTCTCTACCGCATCAGTTCTCTATTGGTAATTGGACTTATCCAGAACTGCCTCAAGTGTGTTTTAACACAGTTAAAAGTGGTTATCCGGGGAGGCTTATACCTACAGTAACTTTGTCTTCAGTAGTAGCCATCCAGTACCCTACCAATGTCACTCGGTGTCCCCCTCTCTGCAGAGGTATCCCATGTCACTACTTTCTGTGCCCAGATAATTCAGTTTACTTTATCGGTGTTTAACCGGAGAGGTATCCAATGTCACGACTTCCTGTCCCCAGATAATTCAGATTGCTTTATCAGCGTTTGATCGTCACTACTTCCTGTCCACAGATAATTCAGATGACTTAATCAGTGGTATCCCCAGAGACAGTAAAGAGTTTAGAAGATGTCAGAGGCCTGCAGGTCTTAAATGGCACCCTATCCCCTAAATAGTCCACTACTTTTAAACAAGGGTGCCATTTTGGTCCACACCTGTTCCACACCACACTGATACCACACCACTCTGCATCAGTCCACACCTGTTCCACACCACACTGATACCACACCACTCTGCATCAGTCCACACCTGTTCCACACCACACTGATACCACACCACTCTGCATCAGTCCACACCTGTTCCACACCACACTGATACCACACCACTCTGCATCAGTCCATACCTGTTCCACACCACACTGATACCACACCACTCTGCATCAGTCCACACCTGTTCCACACCAAAAATAAATGTAAAGTATCTTTCACTAGGCTATCTTCTCCAACCCAGCTCCCTAGGACAACAGACAGGATTGAGGACTCCAGCTGGTATTTACACCAATTCAATAATGTTTCAGTCCAGTCCTTGTGCTTTGGAAGGACTCCAATTAGTGGTTGCTATAGCAACCGTGTCAAAATTTCTCAGTTTGCAAATATCAATTCATATTAGCCCCTCTCTGATAGGTAACGCATGGGATTTCATCATCTGGCTGGTTTCAAAGAGAATAAAGGACTGTGTACACTGAACTGTCTGGCTGGTTATACACCAAGAACCAAGTTATATTTACACTGTCTGGCTGGTTATACACCAAGAACCAAGTTATATTTACACTGTCTGGCTGGTTATACACCAAGAACCAAGTTATATTTACACTGTCTGGCTGGTTATACACCAAGAACCAAGCTATATTTACACTGTCTGGCTGGTTATACACCAAGAACCAAGTTATATTTACACTGTCTGGCTGGTTATACACCAAGAACCAAGCTATATTTACACTGTCTGGCTGGTTATACACCAAGAACCAAGCTATATTTACACTGTCTGGCTGGTTATACACCAAGAACCAAGATATATTTACACTGTCTGGCTGGTTATACACCAATAACCAAGCTATATTTACACTGTCTGGCTGGTTATACACCAAGAACCAAGCTATATTTACACTGTCTGGCTGGTTATACACCAAGAACCAAGATATATTTACACTGTCTGGCTGGTTATACACCAATAACCAAGCTATATTTACACTGTCTGGCTGGTTATACACCAAGAACCAAGCTATATTTACACTGTCTGGCTGGTTATACACCAAGAACCAAGCTATATTTACACTGTCTGGCTGGTTATACACCAAGAACCAAGATATATTTACACTGTCTGGCTGGTTATACACCAATAACCAAGCTATATTTACACTGTCTGGCTGGTTATACACCAAGAACCAAGCTATATTTACACTGTCTGGCTGGCTGGATAGAAAATGGCTGCCTTGCTGGGACTGTTAGTTAAATGTTGGCAGTTTCTCACATTGTGATAAGGTTATTTTATAAGTAACCATAACAACTCCATTACTCTCTCTTTCTCCCTTTTCTCACTCTCACTGCCTCTATCTCTCCTGCTGTACACTCTCTCCTCCTCCCTCTCTCCCCTAGCGGTGGGTGGCCAGCAGACAGATGAGGTTCGAGGGAGGCTTCCAGGGTCGCTGTAACAAACTGGTGGATGGATGCTACTCCTTCTGGCAGGCCGGGCTGCTGCCCCTGCTACACAGAGCTCTCTTCAAAGAAGGTAAAACTACAGAAACAATTACAGTATTGCCCTAAGGCAGTGGTTCCCAAACTGTGGGGCGCGCCCCCTAGGGGTCGGCAGGGGGGGGGGCGCGGGGAACCAAACGGTGGGGCACGCCCCCTAGGGGTCATCGGGGGGACCAAACTGTGGGGCACGCCCCCTAGGGGTCGGCGGGGAGGGGGGCACAGTTTGGGAACCACTGCCTTAAGGCAGTACTGTAATATTATTGTTATTATTATTTATTTACTTTTTTAAAGGAACTCAGTCCGCCATTAAACTTACTCTTGAAAGTTGTAATAGTAGAATGCACAAGGTGCAATTTCCAAATTGGGTATTGCATCATCAGTTCCTCTTGTCATGTTAGTCATTGCAGACCTTAGAGAGCTACTTGTAACTTGTCAGAAATGTCCAGATCAACTAGCCCATGTCAGCTAACGTTTTTTTAGCCCATAGATATTGTTGTAATTTCTTTGTCACTCAAATATCACATGAATACACATTAGACATGGCAAAATGTATAGACTAGCAAGAAAATTAGCTTTAAAACTGCAAAATGTTCTTTGTGCCTCATGACAAAATGTGTAAAATTGCAGGAAATAAGCTTCAAACCTGCAAAAATTATCTCCACCAACAAGATGGGTGTGAACAGTTTGTGTCATGAAAAGTGCTTGTGCCCATAGACATAGACATGGCACGCATGCATGGGGGGGGATGTTCCCCAATACTGGAAGAGGCCCAGAGTGAAAACGTTTAGTAACCCCTGCTCAACGGTACTGCCCCAACGGTACTGCCCCTACGGTACTGCCCCAACGGTACTGCCCCTACGGTACTGCCCCTACGGTACTGCCCCTACGGTACTGCCCCTACGGTACTGCCCCTACGGTACTGCCCAACGGTACTGCCCCTACGGTACTGCCCCTACGGTACTGCCCCTACGGTACTGCCCCTACGGTACTGCCCCTACGGTACTGCCCCTACGGTACTGCCCCAACGGTACTGCCCCTACGGTACTGCCCCTACGGTACTGCCCCTACGGTACTGCCCCTACGGTACTGCCCCTACGGTACTGCCCCTACGGTACTGCCCCAGGGACAGACAGACAGATTCTGAGTGCATCTTGAACCATTCAACTTTTGTTGCTCTTTGTGTTTCCATAAGACATGTCTGTGGTAACTATGAGGATGTTTTCAGATGTAAATGTGTGTTTAATCAAAATGTGCCTGTGTGTGTAGGGGATTCGACACTGAGCCTGCAGAAGTGGATGTTTGAGCAGCAGGCGTTGCAGGAGTACATCCTCCTCTGCTGCCAGAACCCTGCTGGGGGACTGCTGGACAAGCCTGGCAAGTACGTAACACACACACAACATACACACACACACCTTTTTTTGACACTTTTGATTGCAAAAACAAAACCTGTCATAATATTTTGTGTAAAAAAAAATATATGTTCTACCCTCCTGCCAGATCCAGAGATTTCTACCACACTTGTTACTGTCTGAGTGGTCTGTCTGTAGCGCAGCACTTTGGCAACACGGACCTGCACCACGAGTTGATCGTAGGCCGGGAGGCGAACAGACTGGTAAGACTGGGCTTCAAGTGCTGTTTGAATGCAAAAAATATCACGGCTTGCATTTGCTTCAGTGTATTTGTCCGCATAAAAAAAAAAAAAATGAAAACGAGTTTCAAAGTTATTTATTACTTTCAGAAGGAAACAAGAGCTGAAAAAGTTTTTGACTACTAGGCCATAGTCATTGCGTGTCACTGGGATGCATTTTTGCTGCATTGTTTACATTTTTGTTGTCTTCTGTCCAGTGTCTTTTATTTTGTCTCTCCCCTGTAAACTACCACTCACAAGTCCTGGATTGGGTTCATTGATTAGGGCACACCGTTACAAAAACAAATGTTTCTTATCGGACAAGTTCAAATAGTTCCTCCCCAGGGGTGTATTCATTAGTCCGAAACCGTTGCAAAACGTAAACCGATTACTCCAAACGGAAAACGTTTTGCAATGAAAACGGGTTTCTTTTGGACAGATTCAGGTAGATCCCCTCCCGGTTGCGTTTCGTTTGGGTCTTACTAACCTCCTGTCCTGTGTTTCCCTCCAGGCCCCGAGCCACCCCGTCTACAACATCTGTCCAGAGAAGGTGGCCCAGGCCATCCAACACTTCCACCAGCTGTCCGTCCCCGTGCCTGCACAGAAAGAGGGGTCCTCTGCCTAACCACTTATAGAATGGAGAGTATGGGTATGTCTATGTGAGTGTTACAGGAGATGGGCCTAAGCAAGGCACTGTGCAGAATCACCAAGCTGCAGCACGGGCACATACCGATTCCCTCAAACTAATTTAATACATCTTTGGAGGAGGCAACCATTGATACAGGGTCAGATATTTTTCCATTCCGCTAATGATTCAGGGTAGGGTAAATCTGATCCTAGATCTATGGCTAAGGGAACTGTATGTTGAGTGGTACTGCACTGTATGCTTGCTAAAGAGTGGGCTGCACCTGTTTGCAGGGATCTAACAGACTGAGCGCCGGTCTACAGCAGTCAAAGACAGGATTGTGAGAAATGTCAGAATTAGGGCTGTCCAAATAAAGGCCTGAGTAAAAATTGTTGGAATATTGTGTGGCTGTGAGTTATTTACTTCAGAAGAGTAGAGTGTAACTAACACACCTTGCTGTTCAGAAAAAAAGCAAATGAACAAAATAACTAATGTTCACTACCAGTGGAGAACGTTTGTGGGACGACCTATGCGCTCCTCAATGAGTAAAGGGGTTTATGCCAAGTCATTCATACTAGCTCCAGCCAGAGCCGTATATTTAGATTAAAATGTATGGCTCTGACTCCACCCATTTAATTTCTGAAAGTCAAAGGGTTAACCGTGACACATAAGCAGTTCTTTGCGGTCTTCAACCCTGATGGCCAGTTTGTCATCGAACAGCTCACAGAACAGAATTCACCTCTACCTGCATCAGTTACAAACCAGAATAACCCTCAAGTCATCTAGGCGGATGGACTGTCAGCACACAACACAGGAACATGTAGCTCTGTTTGTATTGGTTAATATTGAATAGTTTTCCCCTTTATCTTTAAAGTGGAACTGACAGCATTTTAGCAACATGAAATCTTATTAAAATCTGTTCATATACACCCCCAGGAAGAATATGACACATTTTCTGACAAGCCAGCAGAGATATGGTAATTTTCACGTTTTCATAAATTGATGTTAGGGGAAAGGCGGCCGTGCGTTTGGACAATTAAGACACTGCAGTAAATAACCCCCCCCCCCCCCAACTCTCATTTACCTTACCTGCTACTCTCCCTATGGAGTTTACTCTGCCCCCACCCCAACGACATTCATCACTGTTGCAGTTGTTAATATGTATATTATTACTTTTTTGTTTTTATTTCACTCTATGGTCATGCTGCTGCTCCCCCTATGGTCATCCCCCCCACCCCCACCCCCACCCCATTAGTCTTTACTCTGCCTCCACCCCAATGACATGTATTTATTCATCACTGCCACAGTTATGTATATAGTGCTATTTCTATTCATATTGTTGTTTTTTTATTACTATTTTCATTATTTTATTTCACTAGTCGTGCCGAAGATTTTCACTGTACCCTGCAATAACACCGGCAACCCTGTACACGTGATTTTTAAACAATCTGAATCTAAAACCCTCTCAAACATTTTCAGCTAGTTGGCCGTCAAAATTACACTGATAAACGATGGGGAATAATAACATGCTAATCCTTCTGCAGCTTGCCTGCCAATGCATGCTTGTCCCAACCCACGTTTTGACAACTGAATGGGAACTTGCCTGCCCGCCAATTTGATCGACGCCAAATACATTTGATTGACAACTAAGATAAATGGTAACTGTGGATAAGTCGTTCAAGTTTAGCATAGCTAGCAAAGCGATTCACATTTCTTTGCGAGCTAACCAAATGACACCTGCAGCGTCTCTAGCTGTAGCCAATGAAAAAACGATATGAGGGGAAAAGTCGGTCACTCACCCACTCCTCCAATGACATGACATCCTCCCAGCTAACGTTAGGCTCCTCCAATGACATGACATGACATCCTCCCAGCTAACGTTAGCCTCCGTGTTTTTTATCTACTAAATAAATAGCTAGCTACATATAAATAGATACACTAGCCCAGGGGTGTCAAACTCAATCAGCGCATTGACCATATTGAAAAAAAAAAACGAATTCTCGGGCCAGACATAGCCTATTTGTCTTGACAAAAAACCTTAACTGCGACCCAAACTGGCCATTGTTTTATTTGAAAAATATGGCCCTTAATAATGTCCACTTATGTATACTGAACAGAAATATCAACGCGACATGTAAAGTGTTGGTCCCATGATTTCATGAGCTGAAATAAGATCCCAGAAATGTTCCATACACACAGAAATGCTTATTTCGCTCAAATTGTGCAGAAATGTGTTTACATCCCTGTTAGTGAGCATTTCTCCTTTGCCAAGATAATCCATCCACCTGACAGGTGTGGCATATCAAGAAGCTGATTAAACATGCATGATCATTACACAGGTGCACCTTGTGCTGGGGACAATACAATATTTGAAAACCGAAGCCGGACTGTGGTATGTGTCTGTACAACGAATGCGAGCGCATCAGGCTATACTTTCATAAAGTAGATGACTCAACTGTTGACTCATTTATACTCCCGTGTGTCCTATTCGGCCCGCGGGCCTTGTTTGACATGCGCTAGCCTATTAGCTAGCCAAGTTATGACTGACTTGTGATCATTTTTACATTTTAGTCATTTAGCAGACGCTATCCAGAGCGACTTAGTGAGTGCATACATTTTCATACTTGCCCCCCCCGTGGGAAACGAACCCACAACCCTGGCGTTGCAAGCGCCATGCTCTACCAACTGAGCTACAGGGGACATTGCCCTTGCTAGTTTGATTGTATTGACATTCCCATCCTTAGTTACAGTCATCCGTTTTTGTTAGAAATATTGAATAATTGAAACTGAAACAGTGCATCCCGAATGGAGGCAGCAAACAATGTACCAGGCCAGCTGTGATTTACAACCTGACAGCAATATTTTTTGGACTACCAAGAAATGTATTGGTGAATTGTATTAATCATGCATTGAACTACAGTGCCTTTGGAAAGTATTCAGAACCCTTGACTTTTTCCACATTTTGTTACGTTACAGCCTTATTCTAAAATGGATTAAATACATTTTTTCCTCAGCAATCTACACACACACAATACCCCATAATGACAAAGTGAAAACAGGTTTTTAGAAATTTTTGCAAATGTATTAGAAATAAAAACCTTATTTACATAAGTATTCAACCCCTTTGCTACGAGCCTCGAAATTGACCATCCTTGAGATGTTTCTACAACTTGATTGGAGTCCACCTGTGGTAAATTCAATTGATTGGACATGATTTGGAAAGGCACACACTTGTCTATATAAGGTCCCACAGTTGTTAGTGCATGTCTGAGCAAAAACCAAGCCATGAGGTTGAAGGAATTGTCCGTAGAGCTCCGAGACAGGATTGTGTCGAGGCACAGATCTGGGGAAGGGTACCAAAAAATGTCTGCAGCATTGAAGGTCCCCAAGACCACAGTGGCCTCCATCATTCTTAAATGGAAGATGTTTGGAACCACCAACACTCTTCCTAGAGCTGGCCGCCCAGCCAAACTGAGCAATCGGGGGAGAAGGGCCTTGGTCAGGGAGGTGACCAAGAACCTGATGGTCACTGACAGAGCTCTAGAGTTCCTCTGTGGAGATGGGAGAACCTTCCAGAAGGACAACCATCTCTGCAGCACTCCACCAATCAGGCCTGTATGGCACTGGCCAGACAGAAGCCACTCCTCAGTAAAAAGGCAGCACAGCTCGCTTGGAGTTTGCCAAAAGGCAATGAGAAACAAGATTCTCTGGTCTGAATGCCAAGCGTCACGTCTGGAGGAAACCTGGCACCATTCAGCTGCAGGGACTGGGAGACTAGTCCGGATCGAGGCAAAGATGAACGGAGCAAAGTACAGAGAGATCCTTGATGAAAACCTGCTTCAGTGCGCTCAGGACCTCAGACTGGTGCGAAGGTTCACCTTCCAACAGGACAACGACCCTAAGCACACAGCCAAGACAACGCAGGAGTGGCTTCGGGACAAGTCTCTGAATGTCCTTGAGTGGCCCAGCCAGAGACCGGACTTGAAGCCAATCGAACATCTCTGGAGAGACCTGAAAATAGCTGTGCAGTAACGCTCCCCATCCAACCTGGCAGAGCTTGAGAGGATCTGCGGAGAAGAATGGGAGAAACTCCCCAAATACAGGTGTGCCAAGCTTGTAGCGCCAAACCCAAGAAGACTTGAGGCTGTAATCGCTGCCAAAGGTGCTTCAACAAAGTACTAAAGAAAGGGTCTGAATACTTATGTAAATGTAATATCAGTTTTGTATTCTGAATAAATTGGCAAAATATTCTAAAAACGTGTTTTTGCCTTGTCATTATGGGGTATTGTGTGCTGATTGATGAGGGAAAAACAATTTAATCAACTTTTAGAATAAGGCTGTAACATAACATGTAGAAAAAGTCAAAGGGTCTGAATACTTTCCATCTTCTGCCAACAACACGTTACTGTATGTCATGGAATTTGAAGTCAAATAGAACCTATTTTTAAAACCTCTTATAAAGTTGGTTTTGAAGCATAAACTGGGAATTTGGTAGACAATGATTGTCTGTTTCATATCTGCAAAGTAGTTAAAACGGTGTCCGTTCCACTTTAAAAACACACAACTGCATGCCATCTAATTCATAAGATGCAAATCTACCAAAAGAAAATAAATTTTTCTAAAGATGATAAAATCCATAAATGCTTGGATATATTGTCCACTTCACTGAGGGGATGCAACAAAAATACAGAATTAACAACAAAACACTTTTTAAAGGATAAAATAGTTTTATTTATAGTCTCATAGTAAAGGTAGGCCTCAACTTGCAAGACAATTCTTGGCAGTATGTACAACATACTTGTAATTTCCATGGAATGGAATCAAATATCTATTTAGTATACACTAATCATACCCTAAAAAAAATGGGGGAACAAATGGGAAAAATATACATACACATTTCCTAGACACACAAAATGCTTTTTTTCTTTTTCTTGGAGTCGGCGACATTTAAGATTTTAACTGTGTAATTCACCACACATTCACTTAATTTTCTCCTCATATTGAAAAAAAAATGGGAACTACCTTTTGACATTCAATATCTATTTTATACCTTGAAGGAAAACTACAAGTGACAAATTGGTATTTTCCAATGATTTGTGAGAATACAAAATGCATCACTTTTTTTGAGAACTTGAAAATATCCAATCAATAAACTATTTTTTTTTTTTTATTGAGATTCCTAACTTTTGCTCTGCCACCTAAATTCATTCACTAGTTCAAGCAAAAGGACAAAATACGATACAAGTTTTGGAATCTTTTTTCATAACATCAATTATTTTCCACAAAGGGGATTATATTTAATTTCTAACAAATGTGTCAAAATGGAAAACATCTGCAATCCTGTTGGCCTGAGGTGGGTTTGTGTTTCACTTTTACATCAAATTATATTTTTTTGTGGTAATGTTTTGAAGGTATGCTTCTCCAACCAACAGGACGACTCTTCTAGGCGTGTGTATAAATTCTAAAAACAGGTTCTTATCAAGATAAATTGACTAAATAAACAAAAGTAGTATATGTTAGCAGTGCTTGGAGTACGCCTCTCTCTCTCCTCTCCGTAGTTTTCAGCCGAGAGGAGAGAGTACATAGTAGAGGGTACAAAAGCATTGAGTCCTTTAGGTCGCGAAGCTTCCTCATTTTGGGTTTTGGATAGTTGTTGACGAAAGGGAGAGAAGTCAGAAAAGGGAAGCAAGGAACCGACAGGGGAAAAACAGAAGCTTTGCACGTCGTATTCAAAAATCAGTCTACTTTTCTTCCTCCCAGCTGGCTTCCCTCCCTCCCTCGGGGATGGCGTGATGAAAGGACGTCAGGATAGCCAGATCAGCAGGAACGGATGGAGTCTCCACTCTCCACTGAGAGCACATCCAGAGATATGGAGGGAGGAGAAGGTAGTGGGAATCAGAGGAGCAGTCCTGACTACTGGACCAGTAACCGTGGATGCAGTACCCCTCCACACCAGGCATGGTGCTGTGGGCTAGCCTGGCGCTCTAGCTGGCCTCCACGCGGAGCTTCTTCCTGGGGGCGGGGGGTTCCTCTGGCTCGGACTCTGAGCTGGAGTCAGAGCCTCCGTCGAAAGCAGACACAGCGCTGCCTTTAGGGTTGGTGTACAGGCTGCTGTCTGAAGAACTGTAGCTGGCCTGGAGCTGGGTCGAACCCTTCACCTTCTCCAGCGCACGCACTACAGGGGAGAAGGACGGCGAAAGAGGGAGAAGGAGATGGACGGAGAAAGAAGGGAAATAGACAAAAGGAAGAGAAAGGAAAGAGGATGGAGGAGAGGGAGCGAGGGAAGGATGGAGGAGAGGGAGCGAGGGAAGGATGGAGGAGAGGGAGCGAGGGAAGGATGGAGGAGAGGGAGCGAGGGAAGGAAGGGGGAGAGGGAGCGAGGGAAGGAAGGGGGAGAGAGCGAGGGAAGGAAGGGGGAGAGAGCGAGGGAAGGAAGGGGAGAGAGCGAGGGAAGGAAGGGGGAGAGAGCGAGGGAAGGAAGGGGGAGAGAGCGAGGGAAGGAAGGGGGAGAGAGCGAGGGAAGGAAGGGGGAGAGCGAGGGAAGGAAGAATAGAGAAAGGGGGTGAGAAGGAAAGAGGGAAATTGAGAAATGAAGGTAAAAATTTGGCCCATAAGCAGACAAACACACAAGCTACAGGTAGAGATGGTCCGTAGGTACGGTATGTTCTACATCACACTACAGTAGATGGTCCGTAGGTACGGTATGTTCTAAATCACACTACAGTAGATGGTCCATAGGTACGGTATGTTCTAAATCACACTACAGTAGATGGTCCGTAGGTACGGTATGTTCTAAATCACACTACAGTAGATGGTCCGTAGGTACGGTATGTTCTAAATCACACTACAGTAGATGGTCCGTAGGTACGGTATGTTCTAAATCACACTACAGTAGATGGTCCGTAGGTACGGTATGTTCTAAATCACACTACAGTAGATGGTCCGTAGGTACGGTATGTTCTAAATCACACTACAGTAGATGGTCCGTAGGTACGGTATGTTCTAAATCACACTACAGTAGATGGTCCGTAGGTACGGTATGTTCTCCATCATACTCACCTTGCTGCTCCAGCAGAGCGTTCTGCCTTTTCAAGTCGTCGATGTCCTGCTGGTGCGTGTGGTTTTTCCTCCTCATATACTGGATGTAGTCTGTGGCTTTGTCTAGGATCTGAGCTCGGGACGCCTGTTTGATAGATTGCTGGTGGCAACAAAGGAAAAACTCATGACGCACGGCAAGGTTGCAGTGACATCACATCACTGACTAACCCCTCTAACCCAGTTACTGTAATACACTGACTAACCCCTCTAACACAGTTACTGTAATACACTGACTAACCCCTCTAGCACAGTTACTGTAATACACTGACTAACCCCTCTAACCCAGTTACTGTAATACACTGACTAACCTCTCTAACCCAGTTACTGTAATACACTGACTAACCCCTCTAACACAGCTACTGTAATACACTGACTAACCCCTCTAACACAGCTACTGTAATACACTGACTAACCCCTCTAACACAGTTACTGTAATACACTGACTAACCCCTCTAACACAGTTACTGTAATACACTGACTAACCCCTCTAACACAGTTACTGTAATACACTGACTAACCCCTCTAACACAGTTACTGTAATACACTGACTAACCCCTCTAACACAGTTACTGTAATACACTGACTAACCCCTCTAACACAGTTACTGTAATACACTGACTAACCCCTCTAACACAGTTACTGTAATACACTGACTAACCCCTCTAACACAGTTACTGTAATACACTGACTAACCCCTCTAACACAGTTACTGTAATACACTGACTAACCCCTCTAACACAGTTACTGTAATACACTGACTAACCCCTCTAGCACAGTTACTGTAATACACTGACTAACCCCTCTAACACAGTTACTGTAATACACTGACTAACCCCTCTAACACAGTTACTGTAATACTACTGCTGTTAACCCTAGCCTGGTTAAACCAGACTGAATACTACGTTCAGAGACCCTATATGTAATTCTATGGCTGCTCTCTCACAATGGTGGTGCAGTGTTGTCTGTTTAAACCAGGCCACACTACCAAATTCCCTCAGGCCACTATAATGCAGTCCAACAACCAGAGCCTACACCGTGAATGAAGCTGCTACGATGGTGAGAATGAGACATTTAAACCACTAAAACCTTCCTTTAACACTTCAGAAAAGGAGAGAACACTTTAAAATCAGACTAAATCCAGAATTATCCATAACTTTGCAAATAATAAGCCTGGCTGGAACAAAACTATCATGAATGTGAACCTGAACAAAAAATTGTCTGCATTTCCATAATTTGACAGTTTCTCTGTCTCATAAGTATTCATTAGTATGTTTCTATGACGAACCAGGCTTCGACAGGAGGGACAGAGACAGACCAGAAGTGCCTGTGCCTCAATTCCTACGCAGATCAACATATATATTTCCCAAATTTTAGTTTCTAAAAATGTAAGCCTGTCACATACGAATCCATGAGCACGTCTGTATGACGAGCCTGGCTTATAGAGCAGGGACAGAGAGAGACAGTATCAGGCGTGGAATATAGACTTGATCCAGCTTCTCATCGCACAGCAACACAAAGGCTGTGTCCAAATGGCACCCTATTCTCATAATGAACTACTTCTGAGTGCCCTAAGTAGTGCACTATACAGGGAACAGGGTGCCATTTGGGACAAACCCTTGATCCAGCTTGGCACACCTGTATTTGGGGAGTTTCTCCCATTCTTCTCCGCAGATCCTCTCAAGCTCTGCCAGGTTGGATGGGGAGCGTTGCTGCACAGCTATTTTCAGGTCTCTCCAGAGATGTTCGATTGGCTTCAAGTCCGGGCTCTGGCTGGGCCACTCAAGGACATTCAGAGACTTGTCCCGAAGCCACTCCTGCGTTGTCTTGGCTGTGTGCTTAGGGTCGTTGTCCTGTTGGAAGGTGAACCTTCGCACCAGTCTGAGGTCCTGAGCGCACTGAAGCAGGTTTTCTTCAAGTATCTCTCTGTACTTTGCTCCGTTCATCTTTGCCTCGATCTTGACTAGTCTCCCAGTCCCTGCTGCCACCACGCTTCACCGTAGGGATGGTGCAAGGTTTCCTCCAGACGTGACGCTTGGCATTCAGACCAGAGAATCTTGTTTCTCATTGCTTTTTGGCAAACTCCAAGCGGGCTGTGCTGCCTTTTTACTGAGGAGTGGCTTCTGTCTGGCCAGTGCCATACAGGCCTAATTGGTGGAGTGCTGCAGAGATGGTTGTCCTTCTGGAAGGTTCTCCCATCTCCACAGAGGAACTCTAGAGCTCTGTCAGTGACCATCAGGTTCTTGGTCACCTCCCTGACCAAGGCCCTTCTCTCCCGATTGCTCAGTTTGGCTGGGCGGCCAGCTCTAGGAAGAGTGTTGGTGGTTCCAAACATCTTCCATTTAAGAATGATGGAGGCCACTGTGGTCTTGGGGACCTTCAATGCTGCAGACATTTTTTGGTACCCTTCCCCAGATCTGTACCTCGACACAATCCTGTCTCGGAGCTCTACGGACAATTCCTTCAACCTCATGGCCTGGTTTTTGCTCAGACATGCACTAACAACTGTGGGACCTTATATAGACAGGTGTGTGCCTTTCCAAATTATGTCCAATCAATTGAATTTACCACAGGTGGACTCCAATCAAGTTGTAGAAACATCTCAAGGATGGTCAATTTCGAGGCTCATAGCAAAGGGGTTGAATACTTATTACATTTATCTCCTAACAGGGTGCCATTTGGGACAAACCCTTGATCCAGCTTCTCTCAGTCAGTCAGTACCACACAAAGCCTTTAACTCTCATTACAACCCTAGCAATGATCAAGTCTACAAGAACACCGGACAACTCCATAAACCCCATGAGAGGGGGTTGGTTTGAAAATAAAACAGTGTGCTGTGCCTGACTATAGCCCGGGCTGGTCTGTTGGGTGGCTCCGATGCCCTCAATGTCAGAGATTGAAGCGGCAACACATTTGGTCATAACTTGCCTGTGTCCCAGTGTATCTGTTCAGAACACATCTCCTCTCCTCCACTCTCCCTCCCATGATCTCCTCACCTCTCCATGTCATAACTACCCATGTATTGAATACACTGAAGGAAGTAGCTACATGTTCTGTGGCATTACCTTTGAACTATTCATTACAGCAACACACAAACCTACATATATCAGCATATAATATATCATAACACATTGCAATGCAATTACATTCACTTTGTTTACCCATATTGCATTCAACAATCCCCCTCCCAACTCATTCACCCAGAATGATCATTTTACATTTTAGTCATTTAGCAGACGCTCTTATCCAGAGCGACTTACAGTTAGTGAATGCATACATGTTTTTTTTCATACTGGCCCCCCGTGGGAAACGAACCCACATCCCTGCCGGCCAAACCCTCCCCTACCTTGGACGACGCTGGACCAATTGTGCGCCGCCCATGGGTCTCCCGGTCGCGGCCGGCTGCGACAGAGCCTGGACTCGAACCAGGATCTCTAGTGGCACAGCTAGCACTGCGATGCAGTGCCTTAGACCACTGCGCCACTCGGGAGTCATGACACACAGAGAGCCATGTATTTAGAGAGTCGGGACATTGAGGTTCCTGCATTATGATGATGAAAATATGGCAGCCATGATAGCACCCCATTAACATTACATGGCAGTCTTACGTCAGATAGCGCGACGATTCCGCCTGCACTGGTCCCTGTTGAGGGACGAGCGTCGCGTAGGAGTGACGCCACCTGATGTTAAGACAATGCATTACATGGGGAATAGAATGTCTACAATGAGCATTATGATGCATTTACATGACAGTTCAACATTCTATGGCAGCCATGTTGGCTCCCCATTAACATTACATGGGGAATATTTAAACAATGCTATGTAACTGAACGTCTAGAATTAGAACATTCCAAATTCTAAAAAATTGTCCCAACTCTAAATACATTGCTCTGGACACACACAAACAACCCTTCCCTCCCCAAAGGATCCCCTCTCCCTAAGCACTTCTGGGTTTACCTCTCTACCAACCTTTTCCCCTTGCAGGGCAGGCACCGAGTCCCGCAGGCTGTGAAAGCTGTCTTTGATGTGATCCCTACGTTTGCGCTCCAGTGCATTGTGGTGTGCCCGTTTGTCTGCCTGCAATGAGAGAGTCACAGGGGGCTTTAGCAGGGGAGGGGGGCGGGAGGTGTCCAGGGAGGTTTGGACTGACAGGGGGACACACACACACACACCAAGCTTCTCTGACCAACTGTCCCCATTAATCCCTACCACCACCAGTTCAGAGTCGTGTGTGTGTGTGTGTGTTTCTGTGTGCATCAGGGTGAGGTCGTGGCCCGTCCAAGACTGGGCAGGGCAGGCATAGTGAGTTGGCGAGGCAGCAAAGGAGTTGTTCATGGAGGAAACTGACTGGCACCATAGAGATCATCCTCATCCTATAATAATTCATATGGATCTAGAATATTTATGATTCTATTCTACATTCATTTCTATGGTTTTGTTTATTTCTACAACTGGTATAGTAACACTGGCACCACCCCACCCCACTAGTGACTAGAACTGACCCCAGTGCAGCTCTAACTGTGCTCTTCATAATCGACTAAAACTGACCCCAGTGCAGCTCTAACTGTGCTCTTCATAATCTACTAAAACTGACCCCAGTGCAGCTCTAACTGTGCTCTTCATAATCGACTAAATCTGACCCCAGTGCAGCTCTAACTGTGCTCTTCATGGTCGACTAAAACTGACCCCAGTGCAGCTCTAACTGTGCTCTTCATAATCTACTAAAACTGACCCCAGTGCAGCTCTAACTGTGCTCTTCATGGTCGACTAAAACTGACCCCAGTGCAGCTCTAACTGTGCTCTTCATAATCTACTAAAACTGACCCCAGTGCAGCTCTAACTGTGCTCTTCATAATCTACTAAAACTGACCCCAGTGCAGCTCTAACTGTGCTCTTCATGGTCGACTAAAACTGACCCCAGTGCAGCTCTAACTGTGCTCTTCATGGTCGACTAAAACTGACCCCAATGGAGCTCTAACTGTGCTCTTCATGGTCGACTAAAACTGACCCCAGTGCAGCTCTAACTGTGCTCTTCATGCAGAGCAGTCTAGGCCAGGATAGGTGGTGTGGCAAAAGAAAGACACTAACTCCATTTAATGAGAGGAGAGGTGGGTGGGGGCTAAAATGGTGACATCGTGGTTTAGTTTGACAGTTCCTACATTTGCCTACACCTGACACCTAGGCCTAACTGACAAACTATTAGGAGTTATGTTCTGGGTTAGGAATGGTATTTAATAACCTGAGGATTTGTTATTTGGCACTGTATCACGGGGGATGCATTTGGATAGATGAATTTACCGATTTTGGTGTGTTCTTATACAGTGAAATGTGTCTTCAGAATATCTGTTTTTGTTATGCATTGTAAAAGCCTATTGTATTTGCTACGGACCATTTCATAAATGATAGCCTTTTGTTTGTTAAGGCCTAACAGTAGGACTGTTTTATACTCTGCTCCTGTAAGGCTGGGGTTTAGGCCTATGTTATATATATATATAGCCTGTTGTTCTGAAGACAAACCTACTAATTATCCCTACGATCTGCCGTCTGGTGAGGATCACCTATAGTCTCTATAGCCTACACACAGAATAAACAGACATCTTGTGGGAATCATCTACCTAAAACACACCTAGTGTTTTTTCATGTCTCTATATAGGCCTTCACAGAGACACCCCTCCCTCAGCCACTCCATACTGCTGCCAGGGCTTCAGCTGGCTCATCTACCTAAACACACATAGGCAGAGTCCTGAATGGCACTCTATTCCCTATGTAGCACACTACTTTTGATGACCAGGGCCAATAGGGAACAGGGTGGCATTTGGGACGCAACCATAGTTATTCCATGTCTCTCTACACACAGACAGAACAATATAGAAACATCCCTCAGGCACCAAATACATTCACTGCACCGAGGGACTCTGTCAGGCCTGTCAAAGCCTCTCTGTCAGGCCTGTCAAAGCCTCTCTGTCAGGCCTGTCAAAGCCTCTCTGTCAGGCCTGTCAAAGCCTCTCTGTCAGGCCTGTCAAAGCCTCTCTGTCAGGCCTGTCAAAGCCTCTCTGTCAGGCCTGTCAAAGCCTCTCTGTCAGGCCTGTCAAAGCCTCTGTCAGGCCTGTCAAAGCCTCTCTGTCAGGCCTGTCAAAGCCTCTCTGTCAGGCCTGTCAAAGCCTCTCTGTCAGGCCTGTCAAAGCCTCTCTGTCAGGCCTGTCAAAGCCTCTCTGTCAGGCCTGTCAAACCCTCTCTGTCAGGCCTGTCAAACCCTCAAAGTTGAATGTGCATAAAATAAACAATTTCCTTCAACTGTAAAACACTCGTAGCCTTTAGGCTTCAGCTCAGATATTTCCAAGATGGTTGCCGACCCATGTTATATGACTAGGGCTAGGCCCAGAGCAGAGCAGCAGCAGTTTAACTTGTTTCAGGCCAGGCAACAGTAGCTCCCACAAAGGTCCTCGACTCTGACTCATTTATAACCAATGATGTATATACACCCTGGATTGCTGATGCTGAGTATTGGCCATTGAGAGGCTTTGAAGCCACCGGTCAGCCATATTGTCACTCCCCAGTAGGAGCAGTCCTCCACAGGAATGAATGGAATTCTACAGTATTTCAATTAAATGTTTCAAGGACAAAATTACATGTATTTAAGTATTTTTGTTGTTGTAGTGGGGACAGTAACAGAACTGTAAAAAAAATATAAAAAAATCACACTAAGGATAAAATATATATATATATATATATTTTTTTTTTATGTGGCAAAACCAAAACGTAGACATTAATAAATGCATTTCTATAGCTTCCAAAATATTTTTCAGAATGGTGGGGGAGTGCCAAGATGGAGACGCGGTGGCTTCAAAACAGTGCCCTGTCAGTCATCTAGTGTATATATTGTCAGATGCAGTGGCACCATAAAAGGTTACTAGACAGGGTGTTTTGGTTCTAACTTGTCTACAGGGTCAGGCCAGGCCTGTGACTGACTGTGTGAAAGTTACATTAGGATAGGAAGCCCCATGAAATCCCCACCAAGTCTCTCCATGACAAGTTATTAGAGGAATGCACAAAGAGTCTACGACTAACCCTGGGGATACAGCTGCTGCCCTAAGGTCTGGGCCATGTAGTGGAGGCTCTCCCCCAAGGGCCTAACAGCTGCATTCAGGACTGAGAACCATGTGGCCTTCCCATAACATACACTAGTGCTGAGAGATTAACCGAAATTAAGATTATTTTTCGGGTTTTTAAACAACTAATTTACCGATGTCGGTTCAATTATTTGAATTCCATTTCGTTCGTTTTTTTCCCTTCTTCTGTGATCTCAATGTGCAGTTTCTCTAGAGATAAATCAGATCAAGGCCGAACTGTGCGATGTAGTAGGGAGTTGTAGTTTCCAACAGGCCAATACTATACATAGTTTAGCGCAGAAAACATGGGAATGAACTACAATGACCATAATCCATTGCGCGCCTACTTGGCCGGTCTGTGTGGGGCAGACACGGAGAGGGAGAAAAGCGAGAAGATGCGCGATCGAGAGGGATTGAGAAAAGTTGCTTCGCGAGGTATCTCTACCTGAAAATACATGATCTAAATCAGGGATGGGCTACTTCCGGCCCATTTTGAAAGCCCTCGGATTGAGGCTGTTTTGAGGGCAAAAGGGGTGGTGCAACTCAACATTAGGAAGGTGTTAATGTTTTGTACACTCAGTTTATTCCTAGGCCTATCTAATGACACAGTAATGTCTTTGATGTTGAAGTCTATCGAGTAATTTCCAAAGAGGGAAGAGCATTCTGTGTCACCGGGCCTAGTGCCTCAAACTGATCTCCAGTTACCTTAGTGCACAATATCACACCATCTGTTCATACAACTGATATCATACTTCTCAATGGTTTAGCTAGACCTAAATCACTCGCATTTTATTTAGACATCTGAACATAAACATTACAAAACGTTGGGTTACGGATGTAACCTTGGTTCTCTGAGTAGAGTAACGGGTCGCCAAATGACCTATGGGTACAACTTCCCCTTCACACAATGTGATTGAGATGCTTAATATCAAAATAAGTTTAGTCACGCCACACCCTTACTGTCCCCATGTGACCTTGCACTATAAAAAGGCAGTGTGGCGTAACCAAATGAAAGCTTGGCGACCCGTTACTCTACTCAAAGAACCAAGGTTACATCCGTAACCCAGCTTTCCCCTTACGTTTTCTGAACGGGTCACCAAACGAAATAGCGTAGAGGCTGTACCAAAATGGTCGTTCGGACAACAAAGTGGGATAACTAACCATTTAACTTAGTCCAGACGAGTCCCTGGGACGTCCTTGTATCCACCACAGGATGCAACATAATATAATTACCCAACAGGGTAACAGAGAATTTCAACTGTGGTACACAACCGTATACACAAGCAAGCTGAAAGCTAGAACTTACACGAGGCTTCAAAATGGGCGCAATAGCACACCAAGAGTGGAAGGCTTCCATATAGAACGTCCATGTCACTGATGGTTGATTAGTAAGTATGAACAAGGTTCACAGTGTGCTCACTTATCCGGGTTGGGAGAAATCGCCGTGTCCAGAACCACAGATCCCACTGATGGTGTGGACATAACATGGAGTCTGTAGTTACCTCATGAAAGTCATGGGTCTTGGCCAACTTGCAGAAGCACAGATGGAGTCCAGGGAGGCCCCTCTGGTGGAGTGTGCTGCCACGCCGTCTAACCAGGCAAAGTGTATGCAACTCACGACTCTCCTGTGAGGAGTGGTGAGGTGTGTGAAATGCCGCTATGATTAAGGGCTGGTTAGCATGTGATGGCGAAAGCACCTTGGGTAAGAATGCTGGATTTGGCCGAAGCACTGCCTTAGATCCATCTTCTGCTAAAGTGAGGCTTGAAGGATGGGTAGAAAGTGCATGTAATTCATCAACAGGCTTGGCTGAAACCATAGCCAATAGAAAGGCAGTATTGACAGAGCTCAAATAGCTCAAGTGAAGACAGGGGCTCAAATGGTGGGCTCATAAGTGATCATAGAACAACAAGTAATTGTTCCAACAATTGTTTACAGACATACACTAAGTTGACTGTGCCTTTAAAACAGCTTTAGAAGCTTCTGATAGGCTAATTGACATCATTTGAGTCAATTGGAGGTGTACCTGTGGATGTATTTCAAGGCCTACCTTCAAACTCAGTGCCTCTTTGCTTGACATCATGGAAAAATCAAAAGAAATCAGCCAAGACCTCAGAAAATAATTGTAGACCTCCACAAGTCTGGTTCATCCTTGGGAGAAATTTACAAACGCCTGAAGGTACCACGTTCATCTGTACAAACAATAGTACGCAAGTATAAACACCATG